AAGATCTGAGGGGTCTAGAAGGTTGGTACAACAGCAGATCTTTAGTTGAGACACACCTAAAAGTTGCAGGAGTCCAGCCCTCGAGGCCCGGAGTCGCCCACCCCTGGTCTATCCTCTAAGCTACAGGGAGTCAGTGTTGGGACTTTAAAACTGGTGTTAAGTGCTCTAAGTTCCTGGTTTTAGTGAGAACGCGAGCAGGAGTTCTCACTAAACTTTCACCCAATTACTCGAAATCAGTGTAAAATTGTTTTAGTAGACTGGAGAGATGAGGTACCCATATTTTTAATTCATTTTGACCCATTTTATTATTTTTTAGGCAATTTTATATATAAAAAAATTATATTTCCTATTTTCTCTTCACCTCCATAGGCTGCCATCTTATCGTGATGAAAGGGTTTGAGTGTTGAAGTGACTCTAGGAGTTATGCTGTCAGGGGTTTCATACCCCTTGTAGGGTCACCCAATGCTAGAGGTCCTAGGTCATGACAAAGAGCAGCCCAAAGACCCTTTATGAAGAGCATAATCAATGGATACAGTGACCCCTCACCTGGACGCAGGTCACCAGGGCTCCACCCTGGAGCCAGAGTTGGTGCTCCGTGGCAGCATCTGGTGCCAAAACACATGGAGTCTGGCCAGGCTCAGCCCACAGTGGGTTCACCTTCCCATGGGCTCACCAACTGTGGGCCAAAAGGGCTGGGTGCAATGTGGGATGTTAGAAGGCCGAGGGAGGGGACCTTGGCCATCTGACCCTGGGCAGTAGATGTTAGGGGTCTCCAAAATGAAACAAGTCTCAGATAAAAAAAAATAAATAATTTCAAAATTTCAAATTTGTAAACATTATTATTGAACAGCTTTTATTTGAGCTTAGAGATTTGCACAATATGCTCTTTTACAATTTGTGAAGTTAGGAGATATGGTAACACTTTATTTGAAGGGGGGTGAATAAGACTGTCATGACACTGTCATAATCATGACATAACACCTGTCATGAACATGAATAAGCCTTCATGAATATTTATGACTGTTGTCATAAAGCGTCATTCGATAAATTATTACACTTTTAATACGCAGTTGACATTATTCAAAATGTCTTTGTTATGACAACTTGACATTAACTAGGAAATCATTACTGTTTAAACTTTACCTTGAATAACATAAAGTTACCTAATTTTTAAAGTGCAATCAGTAAAACTTTTATAACAAATTAATATCAGTGATGATTTCTTGGTTAATGTCAAGTTGTCATAACAAAGACATTTTGAATAATGTCAACTTTGTATTAAAAGTGTCATAATTTACCGAATGACGCTTTATGACAACAGTAATAAATATTCATGAAGGCTTATTCATGTTCATGACAGGAGTTATGACATGTTTATAACAGTGTCATGACAGTCTTATTCAACCACCTTCAAATAAAGTGTTATCGGAGATATTGACTCTGATTGTCTGGAGATCGTATGTGGGGAACCTCAAGGGTCAGTACTGGGAACAGTTTTATTTAATTTGATCTAAACAATATGAGCAAAGTGTCTAATGTATTAAAATTTGTGTTATTTGCTGACGACACAAATATTCTAGTCTCTGGTGAAAACGTACAACTTCTTTCTATAGTTGCTTCAGAAATCAATAAATTAAAGAAATGGTTTGACAATAATAAGTTATCACTAAATTTGGACAAAATCATGTTTTTTGGAAAATGCTACAAAAATACTAAAATGCAAGTTCAAACAGAGGGTGTAGCTGGAAAGGTTTTCTGATAATAAGTTTCTCATTGTTATGATAGATGATAAAATCAGTTGGAAACTTCCATATTAAACATTTACAGAATAAACTAAGTAGAAGCTTATCAATCCTGGCTAAAACTAGACATATTCTGAATAACAAATCACTTAATATTCTACACAACTCTCTGATTTGGCCATATTTAATATATTGTTCAGGAATAAGGGGAATTAATTACAAAAGCTCTTTATATCCACTAAGTACACAAATCTATCATTTATGTTTCAATTCATGGAGTAAAATTGTGGAACAAGTTAAACAATACCTTTCTTTTGTTAGGAAAAAAAATTAAAATATGCTAGTTTTTAAACTTAACCATCCATCTTCTTTACACCTTGTCCCTTAGTGGGTGAGGAGGTGCTGCTGCCTCTCCAGGTAACGTTCCGGCTGAGAGGCGGGGTCACCTGGACAGGTCACCTGGACAGGTCGCCAATCTGTCACAGGGCAACACAGAGACACACAACCATGCACACACACACACACACACACCTAGGGGCAATTTGGAGAGGCCAATTAACCTGACATGTTTTTGGACTGTGGGAGGAAACCGGAGAAAACCCACCATGCACAGGGAGAACATGCAAACTCCATGCAGAAGGACTGGAGCCGGGAATTGAACCCAGAACCTCTCCACAGGTTCTCTCATTGAATGCCTAACCGCTGCCTAAATGTCCGAAACTGACGATCCACAAACAAATAAGACAACGAGTTTATTCTATTTTTGTAAAAGGCAAACAATTCTGTAGGTTTTTAACAATTTTGTTAATTTTACTTAAGATTTAAAAGATCCTTCCGGTTCTCTGAAGCCGCAATTTTATCTTCATTTCTATTTATTTTTTAACAACAGATACGTGGATATTTTAATATGGTAGAATTATGATTGTAAATAATGCAGTATTCTCATATTTACATGATAAAAAAATTTAACTAATATGTTAGGTGGAGTTTATGAGGTTACATAATAGCAGTATGCACCTCTGAAGTTGTTTTTGTCCATTAGTAATAACAAGAAGTTTAATAAAAATGTTTAAGAAGAATGAGCATGGATTTTCTCTTGTGATTGGATGCCAAAAGGTTCTGTAAACATCTTCAATATTTTGCATTCAATGACAGAACCCTTCTCATCAATTATCGACTTCAAGAGGTCGAAAGAAGAACATTTGGGATTGTCAGCTGCTTAACCACATGAGATCATCAGTAATACTTCTATTGCATTTATCTAATGTTGAGATGCTTTGCCAAGGCCGAGAAAGAGTCACACGCTGTTAGACAAAGGGCCCATAGTAAAGAGTTACATTTTTGATTCTGTTAGACACCAAGGTCAATTTCTCACAGGAAACAGAAACTTATCAGACCACAGAGACATGGTGTGATTTCAGGGAGTGTCTTCAGTCCATATAATCAGCTGCCCTCCTCTTTCTCCTCAGACGCTGCACAGACTTGTGTAGAAGCTCTTCTCGGATGTAATGGTAAAGCGTCTCCTTTCAGCGCTGAAAGTGAATAAAATAAGTAAAGTCTGAATGCTTTTCTTGGCTGATTTTATGCTCTGTGTGTCAATACAAATTATGATTCATCGATCGGGATTGTCATTCTCAACACTAAATACATTGTTTATTCTTCCAGATACAAATCAGCAGACTGGTCGTCCTGGACTGATATATGGAACGGTGGGACAGAACGTAACTCTTCAATGCAAACTGGAGGAAATTCCCTTGGAAAAGCTTATGGTCAGTTGGACATTCGAGAATCAATCAATAAAAGTGCACTTGTATCGCAATGAAGGTGATGATGAAGATTCTCAGCATTCGGATTACAAAAAGAGAACCTCTGTCTTCCCTGACCAATTTAAACATGGCAACTTTTCCCTCGAGTTGGCCAATGTAACCAAGAAAGATGAAGGAACTTACACTTGGGCTGTTCACAATAAGGATGGTTTAAAGAAGAGCGGGAACATCACTCTGCATGTTGGTGAGTTTTAATAATCTAGGATCATTTAAGATAAAGCAGATGAAAATGTTGATGTCTTTAACAATTAATGTAATTCCTCAACAGTTGACAAAAATGGATCCCCACTTATCGGAACTCCAGGTAAATATCTTTAACTAGATAATCAGTGGTTACTGTTACTGTGACGTTTTAGACTTTTTTTGTTTACTTGCTCTGTGGCTCTGTGGGTTGAAAATTCATCTTCCAGCTTCCCCTGTCACATGTTGTTGTGCCCTTGGGCAAGGCGCTTAACTCCAAGTTTCCTGTCTGAGTCTAGATGCATGAATGTGTTTGTGTTAAATGTGTGGCTGCAGTGCAAAGTGCTTTGAGACGCCAGCATGACTGGAAATGCTTTAAATATCCATTTGTTTTCCTCATGCTGTACTTTATATTGTTCTTTTCCAAGTGAAAACAACCGTGCAGGTAAAAGTGTCTGGACTAAATTAGCATTTTTCAATTTACAAAATGTTTCTAAAATGTTATCAATTTATCCACATCATTTTTTGTATATAGAGAAGATAAAATATCCACAATTGTTAAATAGTGGCTAAAAAAGAAATCCACCTTTTTTATCTACAATAAATAAATGTGGATAAATAATAAGAAATCTAAAAACATTATGTGGCTCTATAGGAAGAAGAAAACAGAGACATGCAAACAGATGGGATACATTTTATGAAATATTTATCTTCCAGATTAGACGAATAATTTTTAGATCCTTTATTTCCTATTGGAAATATTTATTTAAAAGCAATATTTACTTTTTATTGACTGAAGGTTAAATAAATCCAAAATGTGGAAAATTTACATCGCAAATGTTTGTTCTTCACCAATTCACAAAAACTCACCTCAAGGCTTTTTTACATAAAAATCAATTCAATCAGATTGATTCCAAATCGCGTAAGCAAAGCTTACCTGATCCAAGGTTATTAAATACTTAATAACTATAAATCACAGAGATTGTTGAACCAAAATTGCAATTCTAGAATGTAAATTTCAAAATTCAAAGACTGCAGTAACAATAACAAAGCAATAAAATGGCCAAACTAGAATGAAGGGAAGCTCTGAATCTGGAGTTACTGAAGCTGTTAATCAAGAATGATGATGTTTTCTATTATTGCGCCAAAAAAGAAAAAACGGTTCAGATTTTCAAGAAAGCCAAACTTAGCAATAATTACCAAGATAAAACTGTTAGCTACAGTAAAGTGTGTCGGTCGGCCCAACAAAACCATAAAACTATTTTAAAAACGTCACTAAAATGAAGTAAGTTAGTGGTAAATATCACATATAGCGATTTATCCATCTTTATTTTTTCTTTGTTCAGTTGATTCTGGAGATAAATTTTCATAAAATGATTTTAAATTATTTAAATTAAAATACTTGATCTAAAATAAACAACAACTGACAACTGGATAATCTTAGTTATCAGATCAGCATGACTTCATTTCTTTGCAGAATTAAACTTCTGCACTTGAAGAAAGGAATAAAAACCTTAATTTAGCAAAAAATAAGTATTTTGTTAATCCTGGAGATTTAAAAAGTGGAATGTGCTAAAACCATTTTTGTTCTAGATTACGGTCTTGATCTTTGTCTTGGTTTTAATCTTTGTCTTTGCATTGGATTCTAGTCATCATCACCATTGTTTTTCTCATCTTTGTCATCCTGGTCATTGCTGTTGTCGTTTCCATACTGAGGAATGAGATACGTGGTAAGTCAGACATTTTGTGATATTAAAGTTTTAAATGTCCTCAAAAAGGGACATTTAACCGAAACAAAACAAGATTAGACTCAAATCAGTTAATTGTTTTTGTAAGTGTGGGAAAAATGATGCATGTCAGCTGCTTTCCTACAACTTTAAAAATAAAAATGCAACAAAAAATAACTTTTTCTTTCAATGTTGTGAGAGACCAACACAGAAATTAGACCAGGGACCTGCAACCTTTACAATACAAGAAACCATTTTTGACATTTAATGGCTTAAATTGTTTAAATAAATATCTAGATTTTTGTTTCTGAAAGACTCATTTTATATTTTTAAATAAAGCAAAACATAAAACATTTGAAAATAAGGAATAGACACAATTTCCTCAATAATAACTTTTAATAAGCATATATTTATGCAAACTAATAAGAAAAATAGATAAATATGAAACAACTGCTAAAATCTGTATTATATGTGTAATGAAGGTCTTCATTACAAATAAAAGTGTTATTTGTGATGGAGTTGAATCAACACTCACAGTGGTTGAAATTAAACACACATCAGTGTTGACTTGCTCAACATTAGTGTATTTAGTCAAAAGTTAACACTATGAACGTGTTAATGTAACACAGAACGGTGTTACATTAACACCGTTTCTATATTAACATAGAAATATGAGTTTTAAAATACTACTGGCTGGGTGTGCTGTGGTGGTGCAGGGGTTAAGCACAACCCACACATGGAGGATCTAGTTTTCAATGATGGTGTGACTAACAATATTCTCTTGTGTGTCTCACAGATGGAGAAGGTGGAGATGCTGAGTGAAATGACGCCCCAATGAATGCTGATGTCATCCTGAACAAGAGCCTTTAAATGTCATCGAAGACAACCAACAGGACTAAACTGGCTGAAGCATGACCCCTGATCTGAAGTACCTTCATCCACTTGTGTGAAGGGGTACTAACAAAATATACAGAACTATGCATTATGGCCCCAAATAGTATTTTATGTTGTAAACCCAATAGGAAGGCTTCCATGTTAGATGGACCAGTTTGAGATCACAAATTTAAAAAAATATTAAGGATGTGTCCTACAGAACCTTTGGGTGTATGAAAAAATACTTGCCAACCTGTAACTACTGCCAGTAAGACCCTGACTCTGGTGTTGGTCAGAGGGCCTGGTGACGCCGCTGCATTGCAGCCTCTCCTCTGTCAGGCTGCCCCAGGGCAGCTGTGGCTACTATCCAGTAACTTGGCACCATCAGAATGTGAATGGCTGAATGTAGTGTGAAGCTCTTTATCAGTGCAGCTTTATAAACTCCTTTACTTGTGTGGTAAAGTGACACACAAGTACAGGCTATTTACCATTTACAGAAACATAATCAATGGCAAAAATGTACAATATTTTTCTAGCAACAGTTAAACATAAGCTATGAAATATGTTGTCAGAATACAACATAGTTAGGGTCATTATTGTCATCCAAATTGGTACACAACGTTTACATTTTCTAACCTTTGGGCCTTTTTTCAGACTTAATACAGTCATTTAATGGCTGTACAAGCAAAATGCTGTTTCCACACTTCAGTCTGTTACTGATTGCACAGTGCCTTTCTTATGGCTAAAGTAGCCATTCCTTTTCAAAGGTCTATAATTTACTTTCAACTGTAAAAGCTGTGACTTATCAATGCAGAAACTTACAAAAACACACGGAGGCACTAATCCTGTGCCACTGAGAGGACTGGATTAGAGAAGTTCAGTGACATTAAGGTGACGTCCCGAGTTGAAGCACCTCAGTGACCTTCATCTTACTCTGAGCCTCATGTTTCTCTGTTTGGTACCGTTACCGTCTTACTCCTCTTGTTTTAACGGTGAAACAACTCGGCGAAAACCTCAAGGATTCATACACAACATGTATGTTTGCACTGCGTTACGCTAGTTCACTTGAGGGAAGGTTTTACCAGCCGACATCCATTAAAGTGACGATAAAATTTTTACTTATTAAAGTAGAGAACAGATGTTTTTAAGTCCTAAGATCAGCTAAACAAATTGAGTCACTATTGGAGTGATTTTATATGGTGCAGCTTTTTAAGCTTTAAATTACAGATTTTTTGTTCGCTGCATTAATAATATAGCTGGAGTGATCGCTTACAAACACTAAACTGACTAAACTGTAAAATGTTATGCTACATTGTTTCTCAGACAGCATAATATTTTTAACAGTTTTTTAAGAAGTCTTCATCTTCTGCAAATTTGACACATTTTCTCATGCTGGCAGAGAAATGTCTGTATTTGAAATATACTTTTATAGACTTGTGTGTATGAAAAATAACAGGTACAAACACTACAGCCGTTTTCCTTTTTAATACAGAAGACAGGAGGAGTTACATCTGACTGGTTGGTTGATTGATGTCTGTTTCTATTTATTCCTCATATATTACTAGTTTTGGTAGTAATCGCTGATAACTGGTGCGCTCCCTTGACTGGACTGCTATTGATGTAATTTTTCTCATTTGTTGAACTTTGATTATACATCTCTTAGTTTTTACACCAATAGCCCTTTGAGACTTGAATAAACCTGAACCCAAATGAAATACTTGAACAGGGCCAATTCTAGACATTTGGTTTTATTAAGAAAAATGCTGTATTGTGCCCTGTGACCACTTGGTGCCCTACAGGTAGGGCACCAAGTGAACTATTCCATATCCGTCTTTTTTTATATTGTTCCATGTTGTAAAATGTGAACATAGATTAAGATGATTCTTGTGAATAAAAACCCTGTAAAAACATTGTTGTAATTTTTTTAGTCTATTATTAAAACCCAGTTCTACATATGTTTTGAAAACAGAAATGCTTTATCTCTGCACATGGACAGGAGTCTAAGACAGAGCAGGAGGCAGAGTGGCCATTTTGTCAGGATCAGCCTGTCCAGAAAAAACAAACCAAAACACTGAAGCTGCATGTATTTGTGTTGACCTGGAATCTATTTTAATTTCTATTTTATTGTATTAGTTTTGTGCCACTGTAGGCGCACTGTAAACTGTTTCTAACTAGTAACAATGTATTTTAAATTTAACTTAAAAATTAGAGGTGTGCCGATCGATCGGTCACCGATC